AGAAAGAAAGAAAGAAAGAAAGAAAGAAAGAAAGAAAGAAAGAAAGAAAGAAAGAAAGAAAGAAAGAAAGAAAGTAGGTTTCTGTTCCCTTCCTTATTTTTACCTACCTGTGTCAGGATGTCAGACATGGAGCACCCACATGAAAAAAAACTATGGTGTATACAATGGCAAGAACCGTGGAGGCTGCTGAGGGGAGGACGGCTCATAATAATGGCTGGAATGGAGGCAATGGAATGGAATCAACCACATGGAAACCACGTGTTTGATGTGGTTGATACCATTCCATTGACTCCATTCCAGACATTATTATGAGCCGTCCTCCCCACAGCAGCCTCCACTGGGTAGGAAAACTGTAGTATTCACTGTAGTGTTTTTGGGGACATTACTGTAGTATTTACTAGTGTTTTTATTTTATTATCTTTGACATAGAGGTGGGGGGGGGGGGGGGGGCTTTCTCCTTGAGGAAACCTATTGGAGAAATACCAAAAGAAAATGTTCAATAACCTGTAGGACTGGGTTCTGATCGGAGAGTTCAGAGCTTCTGCTCTTTTCCATAACCTGTAGGGAACACAATATATGGTCTGTACTTGGCATGTAGTTTTCTTATTTATGGGTGGCACAAATTGGTATATGGGGGAGGGGAAAGGGCAGGGTATATGCAAATTGAATACTGTAGTATTAACTATAGTTTAAAATGTAGTGTTTTTGCTGACATTTCTGTAGTATTTACTACAGTGTTTTTTGTGTGGATAATACTGTAGTATTTACTATAGTATTCAGTATATTACAAAATTCTATACTAAGTACTACACATGGTCAAGGGACACTACAGTGTGTAATGTAGTATTATACAGTTTACTACAGAATTCTATAGTAAGTACTTTTTTATTCGGGGCAGCCAAGAGGGATGTCACTGACAGAAACCCACAGGTGCCCTCCAAACTAGCATAACCACTTCTTCTAAGGGTTAAGGAGACAAGGAAAGGAGACTCTCCAGTGCGCTAATACGTGTTTTTCCTACTCAACCAATACCTCCACTAAGGATATAGGAGACAAGGAGAGGACTCTCTGTAGTGCGTTGAGACATGTCCTTCCAAAGGGAATAGGGGTCTCTTCCCTCGCTTGCTGGAGTAGTGCTAGGCGATGTTTCCTTAAGTCTCTACCTAGTACCAAGTCAAACTGTACCCATTATCTCTCACACACAGACAGACTGGTGCTCTGGCTCTAACTGTGTGTGAAGCAGAGGTGGTTAGGGTGTGTGTTCAGGCTCAAACACTGAAACGATGCATCCCAGTATCTCTCTTTGACACACGCACACACACACTGCTCGGTGCAGTACGCTGGCCCTAACTGAGTAAGATGTGGAATATCTTTCTCAGACAGACACACACACGAGCACGCACGCACACAAACACACACATACATACACACATACTGTACATTTGTGTAAACGTATATAGTGTCTTCATACTGTCTTCAACCTCCCATACTATGCCATATTAGTTGACATTAATATCATTTTTGTATTGTTAACGTTGCAGTTTGTCTCAGGGCTCTTTTTGAAAAGCCATTTATTCGGTGTGACCACTCCAGCTGCAGGTGTCCCGCTCCCCTCCTCTCCCCTTGTCTCCCCTCCAATCTCCTCCCCTCCTCTCCCCTTATCTCCCCTCCAATCTCCTCCCCTCCTCTCCCCTCGTCTCCCCTCCAATCTCCTCCCCTCCTCTCCCCTCCCCTCCCCTCCAATCTCCTCCCCTCCTCTCCCCTCCCCTCCCCTCCAATCTCCTCCCCTCCTCTCCCCTCCAATCTCCTCCCCTCCTCTCCCCTCGTCTCCCGTCCCTCAATAATCTCCTAAATACATTTCGCTCTCCCCTCCATCTCCTCCTCTCCCCTCCTTGCCCTCGTCTTCCCACACTCTCCCCTCTCATTGAGAGAATCCTCTGTAGGCATTCAAACCTTCAAAAGCTCCAACTTCTCTTAAAGCCCCTAGTCCCACTGAGTGTGACCCTTTCCAGAACACACACACTCTGGCCAGACATTTTAGTAATCCCCATGTATTACACCCCATGCACCAACTGCTAAAGTCAGTGAACTATGTTAAACCACAACAAACACACACACAACAGCGTGCCAGGGCATTGTAGGTAGGCTTTTATACACTATGAATGTAGCAGTCAGGACTGGTTAACACACACACACACACACATACACCACACACACAGGCAGCGGTGGCTTTCTGATCAAGAGTGGAGTGATAGGGCCCGTGTATCGCTAGCCACGCCTGTAGACTCTGGAGCATGGAAGAGAGATAGGGAGAGAGAAAGAGGGAGAAGAGGGGATAGCGAGGAGGAGGAGAGTAGGGGAGGTTGGT